TGTGTGTGTCTGTGTGTGTGTGTGTCTGTGTGTGTGTATGTGTATGTGTATGTCTGTGTGTGTCTGTGTGTGTTTGTGTGTGTCTGTGTGTGTGTGTCTGTGTGTGTGTGTATGTGTATGTGTGTGTCTCTGTCTGTGTGTGTGTCTGTGTGTGTCTGTGTATGTGTGTGTCTATGTGTGTCTGTGTATGTCTGTGTAAGTAAATGTTTAGAATTTTTTGTATGATTGATCACAGAAAAGGTGAAGGTTAATTAATTAATTCTGACTGTAAATAATCCTGATTAATTTAAATTAATTCCAACCTTTTTTGCTTAAACGAACAGAAAACAGCAGGTAGATGTTGTGTGTTCTCTCCAACTGTTTTTATTTGTGACTAAACCAAATGATGGAATTATTTATGCGGAAATATGTCCAGAAGAATTTGCAAAAGTGTAGCTCTAATATAACTGGTACAGTCAGTGTGTGTGGTTTGTTTAAGGAGTTTCTGTTTGTTGAAATCAGGTTGAAGAAGTCACAGAACACGTCAGGTTAGTTGAACATCTAATTTTAGCCTCTGATGGAACGCTGTGTACGTGACTCCTTTTTTTGGCATGTTGTAGAGCACAATTAGTTTTACTTTTTTTAAAATAAATATAAGGCACTAACTAAACTTAGAAAGCTGTTTCCTTAAACCAAATTCCAAAGATCCTGCAGTAGACAATTTAACATGCTCTCAAGAAGAGCTTATCTGATGAAGAGTAAGATGTATCTTGATGGAAAGACTGTATCTGGAACATGCATTTCAAAACAAGACAGCACTGTGTGAACTTCCCACTGAGAACAGAAAATGGTTTCCTCCTGAAGAAGAAAGAAATTATGATTAAAAATAAATCTCTGTCAACGTCTTGTCTCTACAGTGCCAGGTTAACGCAGAGTCTGGAGAACCAGAGGACGATCTGACTCCAGAGGCCGTGCAGTTTTGTAGGAGCCTCGGCAGCAACGCCACAAAGGTTTCAGAGATCGCAGGAGGTCGAGACCAGGCCGTGAACAAGGCCATTCAGGAGGGAGTCAACAGAGTCAACCAGAAGGCGACGTCTAACGCCCAACGCATCCAGAAGTGGATCATTCTCGATCATGATTTCTCCGTGGTTGGAGGAGAACTGGGTGAGTGGGACACAGCTGACGTAGTGTTCAGGATAGAAGATTTTTTAATTCACTTCTTTTTAATCCCCATATAAAAACTTTGTTTTTGTGATCAAATTTGTTCAGTACTATTATAAGGAAAATATAAAATTTTCTCCAGACCTATAGTCCTACCACACAGGTTGACCTCATGAACGATCTGTTCCTGTTGTCCCACAGGCCCTACCATGAAGCTAAAACGACCAACGGTGGTAAAAATGTACCAGGAGCAGATTGAGAACTTTTACAAGGAGCTGGCGACTCCGTCAACTCCCAACAATCCCCTGCCTCCTAAATAGAGCTGCTCCTCCCTCTGCTGGTCAAACCCAGTCTGATTTCTTTTTAACAGATCCATTCCACCTGGGGCTGTTCCTTTCTCCCGTGTAAATATGTCTTAATGCTCATTATGTTGAGGTTTGTTTGTTTTGTTTTTTGTCATTGTGTCTTGGTTTACATGTGTGGGTGGGTTGTATATGGGATTGAAACACATCCTGTTTTACAGTAGCTTTATCTTTCTGAAGAGTCCTGAAGCTGAAGTCCGCTATTTATTTGTTTTGCTGGGATGAGAAGCAAAAACCTGACGGGTGAACTGAAGGCAGCTGTGAGTAAAAAGAGTTACTTTGTCCTAATACTTGATACAAACTTTGGTTTTGAAGGAGTCTGTTTATTTTTTTCTCTCTCTCGCTCTCTTAACATATTTATTTTCAGTTTGCCAAAGTTTATATGCAACAATGGAATTCCAAAAGAAGAAAGATTATCATTCCTCTAACCATCATGTTTACTGGCCTTTTGCGTGTAGTCAGTTTAAACCTTGTTTTTGTCACTTTTTTAAAGGAGAAAAAGGCTTTTTTTTGTACGTAAATGAAGTGCAGCCTTTCATGCAACGCTACAAGTGGGTTTCACTGTTTTTTTGTTATGTGGAAAATGTTTACAACAAATTATTTGTTTTTCTTTTCCCTATTAAAAAAACTCAATTTTCAGAAAAGTTGAAAAGCTAAAAACAGTTTAGTTTTTATGATGTCTTTTTTACGACTTACTTTTCTGAAAATTGGGTTTGTAAACTTTTTTTCATCTTTTTTTTTTTTCCACTTGATTTTCATTTTGTTGACCTTTCGGTTCAGAAACTATGGAAGCGTATTGCTGCCACAAAAAAAAAGATGCGCATCACGAAATAACATGAAACTTATTACGAAATAACGAAACTTATCACGTAATTACGTGATACTGAGCCAATTTTTTTTCTCAGTGTGGCAGCAATACGCTTCTGTAAGAAACACCTGCTTTTATTCTGTGATTGGGTGAAAAAGGAAGGACGTTGGTGATGGGTTGTTCCTTTACATGTAGATACGCCGATAGTGCTGCGTTAAATTCCTTTCATTGGTCTGTTGCTATATATATAATGCATCAAATGTATAAATGTTCAAAGCTAGTATACTCTAATTAACATATATGAAGTAACTGTGACTAACATAACAGGTATTTGTAGCAATTTGGTAAATTTAAATTGAGGCATGGTTAAAGGTCATGGTTTCCTAAAACCAGTGAAAGTTCAGAGTAAAAAAAACCTACGTCAGTGTGAGTGTGTGTGTATGTGTGTATAGATAAAAGAACATGATGATTTGTTATTCAGTTTGCTTGAGTTTAACTGTTATTTAAAGCTACAAACAGAAATTTTGTTTGACTGTCTGGAATAAAGGTTTTTTATTATAAATTTACTATAAAATTATTTTTTAAATGGCACATTTATGAGTTTGTCACTTCGTTAAAGATAAGGGACTTTTTATTTTTATGGCTTTTT